AAAGGTTCAGACAATGTGGTAGCGGATACGCTGTCTTAAATACATATAGCTACTATTAGCACACCATCTGCTATCAACTACTACCAACTTGCCAAGGAGTAAGAAAATGATGCAGAATTCCAAAATATTTTATCAGGAAATTCAGCTACTTCATTAGTGCTGCAGCCCCTCCCAATCGGTCAGCCTCCAATTATTCTGCATAGTGATATTTCCACTGCTCACTTTACCCTTTCGCTCCCCAGTCATTTCGTCTAACAGTGTTTAGCAGCCTTCACTCTTTCTCACACCTAGGAGTTAAAGCCTCAGTAAAGCTGATCGACAAAAGATATGTTTGGCCTTGAAAGCAGATGTGGCATTAGTGAAATCACCTAAACTGTGCCTACCCATTAAGTTTCATAATTAAGTATTTTTATTTTTCAGAGGATGATCAAAATTCAAACATCAGTTGAATTAAATCCTTCAAAAGACCCTTACCCCTCTGTTTCATTTTCAGACAAATACCAAATTTATAAAAACAAATATATTCATTATCATACACAGACGAGAACATACATCTTTAAAAATCTTTAAAATAAGTCAACTTTAAATGAGAATAAACATCTTAAAATAAGCCAGCTTCATAACAGATAAATTAAAAAAAAACTAAATTTTTAACAAAACTTAACAACTTTAAATTTAAAAGCAAAGTGCGATGTAAACTTCAATGCAGAAAACTTGTCTTTGCGTAATAATGCCTAAAGAATAGTATTAAAGTGTGCCAAATAAAGTGCTGAAGAAGGAGCACTTCCAACTAATGTAATAAGCACAGAGCTTGCAGATAGGAAAAAAATTTGCAGCATTTTCTAGTTAGAGCGGGATGGAAAGGGAAATGTTTTTCCCTTTGAGCCTGTAAAATGTATTATTTCATTAAGGAAGCTGGTATTTGAGAGCATGCTAACCAAGAAAATTCAGAATCCTTATAAAGAACTAATAAAGATTTTACTATAAGAGCAAATTAAAATTCAAATTTATAGGCATGTGCCGCATGCATCACATACCCTAAGATGACATCCCTGAAACATACATACATTCAGATTCTTCATTATTTAATAGTAGAGGTTAGTTACAATTGAGGTTTATGGTTTGCTGTGGCTTGCAAAAAGGCATCTTAAAAGGTCTTTCTTGAGAATCATTCACTTGTATACACCATCTAGTGGTTACAGGTAAAAATATTGTGGGAGAAAAGAAAGCAAGGAGAATATTCATTGTAGTTCTAAATATCGTAGAACAAAACATTGTCATAAAAAATAAAGCAGTTAAAAAATTTCACAGTTTAAAAAACATCATCGTCGAAGATATCATGGTAAAAAATAAAGGGTTGATCTTTACAATATGGTAACTGGTAGTTTGGCGACATTTTGGAGGCGATAAAGGTTACTACCTGGCACTTTGGTAATAATGTGAGCAGTACTCAGTTCCGATTACGCATTATTTTGTGTGAGGGAAATGAGAGATCATGGGATATGTCATGTGATATTAATGGACGAATTACGGTTCTTTAATCGGAAGAGGGGGGAAATCGGGAAAAAATCTGGAAATTTTGTATTTGGCTTTATTCTGTGTTGTGTGAAACAGTGTTCGTGAATTTTTTGGATCCCATGGCCGTAACTAAAGTGAATTGGAAATGGGTATTTATGTATGTATTAATTTAATGTATGTGCTCATTTATATTTTAAGTAGTGTTTTTGAATTTAATTATATTTTTTAATTAAATGATAGTTATTTTGTGAATTTTATGGTTTGTAGGAATTTGGTATACGTTTTAGTTGAAGTAAACGTGCATGGAAATAATTTAAATATCTGACAATAAATATTTGTAATGGTTGCGGCATGAATTCGTTGGTGACGTGTTATAATGTAATAGATGATTTAGAGGTAAAAGTTTTTGGATATTTTATTTATTTTATATGTGGAAATGTTCATTTTGGACTTTTTCGCGATCAGGTAATTTCATATATGTTCTTTTTACCGGGTTTAAAGATTGAGAAAATTGTCATGTATTTTCGTGAAATTTTTCTAATTTGTGAGAAAAAAGCAGTGTACATGGATATAGTGAAGAGTGTGCGCAATGCCATTTTTGTACAATTCCGGGATGTTTTTTTAAGTAAAAATAAGTCGACGTGTACATGGTTTAGTGATATTTTAATTAAATGATAGTTATTTTGTGAATTTTATGTTTGTAGGAATTTGGTACACGTTTAAGTTGAAGTAAATGTGCATGGAAATAATTTAAATATTTGATACTAAGTAGTTGTAATGCTTGCGGTATGAATTCGTTGGTGACGTGTGTAATGTAATAGATGATTTAGAGGTAAAAGTTTTTGGATATTTTATTTATTTTATGTGTGGAAATGTTCATATTTGGAAAGGGTAAATACTTTTTCGCGATCAGGTAATTTCATATATGTTCTTTTTACCGGGTTTAAAGATTGAGAAAATTGTCATGTATTTTCGTGAAATTTTTCTAATTTATGAGAAAAAAGCAGTGTACATGGATATAGTGAAGAGTGAGCGCAATGCCATTTTTGTGCAATTCTGGGATGTTTTTTTAAGTAAAAATAAGTCTGCGTGTACATGGTTTATGTGTATGTGTTATTTTGAAAAACGCGTAAGGAGTATGGTATTGTGCATTTTTTCCCAATTTTGCAGTGAATATTTGTCATGATTAAGCAGTTTTGTTAGATAAAATTTCTAGCATAAGTGTAATTCGGCTAGTAGATTGTTGGAAGAAGGTGTTCAGTAGATAAAAAGAAAAAACATGTCTTTACTTCGTGAAGACAAAATGGCGGCGGGGAAAAAAAATAGAGGGTTGCTGTAGGAGAGTTGGTCGCCAAATTTTCACCAAAAAACGCCAAGTTACCATAATGTAAAGATCAACCAAATAAAGCACCTACAAATCATCACATGACGATAATATCGCACATGTGCATTTTTCAAGCTTTAAAAGTTATAAATGCATATTTGTATCCTAAAAACAGTAGCAGCAATAAATCTCACTAAACTACATCATTTTAAAATTAATTTTCATTGATTCTATTTAATACAATGATATTTTCTTCTATGTCTTGTTCTTCGTTGCTGCTCTTTCACTATTCAAATATCTCTTTTATTAAATAATGAAGAATCTGTATGTACATATGTTTTTTTGCATAGTGGAAAAACAATGGCACCTACAGCCACCTAATTTTCAACACGTGTAGTCTATCATCCAGACTTGTGCACCTTGAAGACCTAAATTTGAATTTATTTTTTGTTTATTTCAAGTTTAGCCTAAACGTAATACATTTTTTATTAATAAACTCAAATTTAAAAGCATGGTGTTGATACTTGGCAAAATGTAATACATTTACATTTCAAATTCAATCAGAAAACTCAGTGATTTAAAAAAGATATGTTGCCACTTGGTAAAGTGTAAAATATTTGTCTTTCAAATTTAATCTGCCTGTTATTCATTAACAAAATAATCAAATTAAAAGCATTAAATGTAGTTCTTATTAATTACAAGCTGGACCCATGAAATGAAGAATCATTACAATCATGATATATTGTTTAATTTCTTATAACAAATACTTTAGGTGGGATGTCAGACAAGCTTCTTGTATTACAAGAATGAAAGAAGTACAAGCATAACTATTCCAATTTTGGGCATACATATTGTAATAAGTTATCTGTGTCTACATAAAAAAAGTTAGTCTGCAATAAAATAAATATTAAGCTGATCACAACTGCATCTGCTTCTTTCGGAATCAGCTTTCAACATTGTTGTCATAACCTACGACAACATAAAAAAAGTATGCCCATTATAACTATGCCCATTATATTAAATCAATGTGATATGAAATAACACATTTTAGAGAAATTTATTACTTTAATAATATTATTTATTACTTTATTATAATCAATTACTATTTTTAGGACAGAGAGGTGAAATAGCCAAATTAAAAAGTAGAATTAAGAGCCTACTACAGTTAGTTTTTCATTTTATATATTTTTTTACCCTGTATACGAATTTAAAAAAAAAAAAAAAAATATGAATTCTGTATTACTTTTATTTATATCATAATAGGGAAAATTACAATATTTAGAACAAAGTAAGATTCCACCTACCCCCTTTTCCAATACAACTACAGTCAAAAGTCATTAATCCGGACTTGTCGGGACTTCGGCGATTCCGGATTATCGATTTTTCCGGATTATAGATCATCAGTTTAAATCTGGTAAGATGGCATGCAGAAATTACAAAATTAAAAATATGAAACCGTAATTTATGAAATAAAGAACATTTATGATCTAAAAAAGAAAAAGCTTAATATTTATTTGTTTGCTTTATTAAACATTTCTTTCAATGTAAGTTGTTTAAGTTGCTTCGTTTCATGTGATAATACTTTCTCTTTAGTTCTATTAAACAGACATAATTTCTTGTTTAGTTACAAAGTTCTGCTGTTCAAGTCCTATAATTGCTGTGTCGAGAATACCGACTAATTTGTCAATCGAAATTTTTTCATTTTCAATAAAATAACCTCCGTGTCACATTTTTCACTGTCGGAAGCAAATTATAATGATGAGGAAATTGATTTAAATCATATCAAAGACAGAGTACATCGAGATGAAATAGTACATTTAGTAAGGAATTATAAAATAAAAACAAAATAAAATAAAATAAAAACATCTGCCCTGAAGATAAGGATAGTGCTGACAGATCAACTTTCGATTCATTGTGCGCCGTGGCTCATTGTCAACGCGACGCATGCGCACAAAGTTTGTAGCTTTGAGGTCCAGATTATGGGTGTCCGAATTAACAACTTTTGACTGTATTAAGAAAACAAACTATTCCCAAAAGCATTTAACAGTAAAACAATTACTGCCTTTCACAGATGTAAATAAAGAATCTAACTAAACAACAAATGACTGCTGTTTGTAACACAATTATTGATATTTTTATAAGTTACTAAATAACATACTTTTAATTGTTCAATTTCAGGAATGGATAATGAGCTTCCCTGAATCGAGTAAACAGGATCATTTCGTAATGAATGAATAGTAACTGTTCCCCTTGGAACATAAACAGGAGCAACATCACCTGTAAAATTAAAATGTATATATAAATATGGAGTTAAAAATCGCACTGGAACAGAAATAAAAACTATGACTATAGCTTACTAGGTTCTAGAGAATGAAGAATATAAAATGTCACTGCACCATCGAGTTCATCATCCTGAAAAATAGATATAAATACCAAATCAGCAATAACAGGATCTCGAAGCATTAAAAGATAAATTAAAAATGAGAATGCACTTCCATAATTAAATGACTGTTTTTCTTAATTGTATCAATTTATTACAGTTTTTCAATACTTTCTTATAATTATGCCCATACTTAAATAGTCCCAAGATTATCGGCAAGAGTATTTGTCAGTTTCACTAGCAGCCAAAAAAAGGTTTCCCCAAGTTTAGACACTGGACAACCCCCTCAAAAAATAAATAAACATACATAAACACCATTTTTAAACAATGGAATTTTACTTTAAACAATGGAATCTACAAATGTCTAAGAAAAAAAATTTACTTCTAAAAATACATATTACTACTGTGGCCTTAGAATTTTTCTCTTACATTTATATCCACCTTTTTTTTTTTTTTTTTTTTTTTTTTTATCAGGACAGAGATTCACAACCAACATCAAGATACTTTATTCTATCCTTACAAATACATGAGTAGTTAATATTATCTGTTGGCTTGGTTACATTCTTTATCTTTTGTTTTTATTATTACAAATGCTTTGAAGGGTCATGATGCCATCTGGCGGTAAACTGTGAAAATTGCTAACATTCAGGGATCCTGACTAAAGAATTGCCCTCAAATGTTGTTTTTTTTAAACAAAAACTGTTGCCAATACCATTAGGACCTACTTTTTTGTGTGCAGTATAATCTCAATTTAAAGATGTAAGAAAGATGTTTAAAGATTATGTACAGTATAATCATAATTAGAGTGGTGATATGAAGATGATAATGCACTAGTCACCTCACATAGACAAGTTGTAAAACAAAGAGTATGTCTTTGACCAAGCCTGTTTTGTCAAATGTTTGTATGTTTGTCCAAGCCTGTAATGCTTTGACACTCAAAGCATTACAGGCTTGGACTCCATTCATTAACCTTGAAATCCTAAACTATCCAAAATGTCATGAATAAGTGACAATTTCAAGAGTAAAATTACAAAATGACCCTCTCACTGTATACCTGGATCATTTTGCTTTCAATACATCCAACCCAAAATCTGACCCAACTTGAGATGGCAGAAATTTTCATGTATAATGAATTAGAAAACTATCTTATCCAGAATTTTATGTCCATAACCCCTGAAGGATTAATGATTTCATAGCTTGGCACAGTAAAGCATTGTTCATTAAAAATCTCTGAAAAATTCATTTTTAGGGTATCTATGGATTAATTACAATTTTATAAAGCCACTTTTAATTACTAATGTTTCTCAATTGTTTGGCCACTAATTAGATAGATAATCAGAACAATAAATACACATAAATATAATTATGCTTTTATAAGATCTATTTTGTCGTAAAAATCACCTAAAATATAATCAAGTAAATAAATCAGACCATTGTTTACCAACAAAGATTTATCAATATGGGTATTTATTAATCTTTCTCCTTTTTAAAAAAAAAACACATCTAGAGTCTCTTTTAAGAGATTATTTTCTTGTTAACTTTCAGTATGTGATATAATGAGAATAACTGTTCCGATATTTAATTTCTACATGTTGCTGAATGAAAAGGCTACTGAAATTTGTAAGTTCAATCTGGATTCATATCTTGGCAAATTTTCATTGCTTTATATGCAACATTAATGCACACTAATATCTTTCAGAAAACCCTCCACAAAACCTGCTTTATCATAATCAATTAAATAAACAAACTAATATTTATTACCTACTGATATTAAATGAGCATAAAAATGTGAAAGATAAAATTTATATATATGAAGTTGTTAAGAGAGTCCATTTTCAGTTAAACTAAAATAGTTGTGAATCCACTCACATATTTTAAGAAATTAAGAGCACTTAAATTTTTTTTTAAATTAATTAATTAAAAACAATTAAATTTACATACACGGTAATTAACTGTAGTTCGTTTAGTATTTAAACAATGCAATTATTTTATACAGTTTGATAATTACAAGCCTTCTCATTCTCAAATTTTTCAAAATTATTGCGGTGAAAAAAGGTTATTTCTGAGTACATATGGCATAACATATTAAAATGACAATAAATATTATTTTTAGATTTGACGTTAACAAAACTCCACAATAAGACATTTTAATGACATTCCAAAAATTAAATTGAACACAAATGAAAAACTTTAAAAACACATTTTATATCTACATTATAAAACATAACATTTCAGAATTCAAACTTTAATATACCTCCAACAATTTTGTTTGAGCATCGGATTTGGGCGGCCAGTTTGATGCCTATAAAAATTATAATTTATTAATTAAAGGTTCAATTCTCCAAAAAAGAATGCATTTAGTTAACAAATACTCCAAGTCATAGAATAACTTACACATATACAGACTTGTAAAGTATAAATAATAATATAAATAGCAATTTCATAAGATATAATATACTTCATTATGCACAATTTTAATGAACAATTACTGATCAACACATTTTCTAATTCCCTCTTACTTAATGCAGGGAATTCGTTGTTGACAGGTTATCTTCACGAGAAAAAAGGGGGGGAAAATGGGAGGAGTTACGAGATTCTCTGGTTGCATGAAGATCTACTAATAACTTTCTCGCCAAGTTAATTGGCGTCATCGGCTCATTCTCATTTCTGGAACTGTGCTTGAAGAGTGGCGTCTTTTTGATCCGTAAGTATGCTATAATTCTCCCATAAATTTTTAATACCTTTTTAATACGTTTTTCCAAATTTACACATTTTGCCTGATTAATTTGAAGTTGTTTGTGTTTTAGATGTGCGCAATAGCAATATTGGCAAATTTCAGGTTATTTCGTCAATATAACCAAGTTTTTTTATTTCTCTGGTAAGTGTTTGCTTTATATCTTACATTTATTATAAAATATGAAAAGTAATTTTTGCATGTGTATATTTTTTCATGCCAATTTTCTGTTTTATGTGCTGGTAGATTCCTGGCCGATTACCGTGTTTTTAGATAAATGCGCCATTTTCATTTAGCTCGTGTAGAGATTACTGTTTCCATTTTTTTAAGTAACCACGAAATTTCTTAACACATGTAAAAGCTTTACTAGTAAACTTTTGATTGGGGATATTTCAAGTAAATGTGACCATTATTACTGAATTTGTGTAGAAGTTGCTCTTCGTTATGCCTTTTTGAGCCAATATGTTAATTAGTTGTATTATTTTAATACCTTGTTTTGCAGATTAATGCAGTTTATTTGACAGATGTGTAATGCTGTTTGTTGAAAAATGCATTAGAACCAATGATGGTAAGATCTTGGCCTAGAAATTGGTAAAATATACCGCTCTTAATTACTGAATCATATTGTAGGATAAAATCTGCTGTTTATGTATGAAATTTGTACTTTATCTCTGATTATGTGGTATATGCCCAGAATTTCATTATTAATGATCAATTCATTAAATTACTATTTTAATGTCTACTTTGTTTTGTGTTGCTGCTGCTCATTCTGCTTTTTTTTTTTTTTTTTTTTTTTTTTGAGTAGATAAAAAAATTGATTCTTGTTTTTTTTTTTTTTCCCTCAATGTCTCTTTTTATTGTTCTGGTAAATTTTTGAGAAAATCTCAAATAAATGTGCCAATTTTACTTAGTTTGCGTAGAAGTTGCTTCTTCTTTATGCCTCTTTTGAATAAATATGTCAATTAATTCTTGTTTGTATTATTTAATATCTTGTTTTGCATATTAACACAATTTATTTGACAGATTGAGATACGATTTGTTGAGAATATTCATCAAAACTGATACAGGGTAAGTTCTTGGCCTAACAGATTGGTAAAAGATTTTCTGATCTTAATTACTGAATTTTTTATTATATGCTAGGATAAAATTTGCCTTTTACGTGTGAAAATTTTTATTTTGTCTGATTATGTGCCAAATTTAATGATTCAAGAAAATGCCATTTTTGTGTGTAGCTAGTTCGTTGTTGCTGTTCGTCATGCAGTTCTTTGAATATGTATCAGTTTGAAAATTTATTCTTACATTGTATTTTTCTCATCCATTTTTGCTGTGCACTTTTCCTGTGAATATTATTTTTATTTAGTCTATATAGAATTACTCTTTCTACCTTTTTTTGAATGAGTATGATGATTAGTTCTTGTTTGTGTTATTTTAATGCCCAACAATTCACTTTCGAATGTTTGTTAATTATAGAAGCTAATTTTACTTTTTGCTTGCAGTTTTTAACTCTGTACCTTTTATCCAGACATAAATAACATCTGCCTTTTCATTTCTAAACTTAAAAATCGCAGTCGGGAAAAGGTTTCAATTTGAAAGGTAGTGGCTTCTAATTGCAAGAATTTCTTCAGAATTAAATTAACATAGGCTGTGCATTCTCTGCTAAGTATTTCATTTCTCGAAAAGTCTGGTAGACCTTTTAAACGCAATTTTAATCTTAATTTTTTTGGATATAATTAAGAACGATTCATTTGGAAGCAATTTACAAATAGGCATTTAAAATATTTCTGTATAAATCAGTATGGTACTTTTCTGTTTCGCCGGCGCAAATCTCGCCAAGCGCACTTTATTGCGACAACACATAATACACATAAAAATTGTCAAAAAATGTTGGTTCTAAGATTTTTTTTATTTTAAAGGCATAACATTTTAATATCGTTAACGTTTTGTAAAAAGACAATAAATTTTTTAAAAAACATTAATTTAAGAATTTACTATGCTTTCATGGTACAACATCCTGATTCGCAGGTTCGTGTCACATGAACCCAAGTGATCTCATTTCACGTAATTCTTTGCTCAAACTACGCTACAAAAATCTAATTCTCTCAATGATTCAGTAATTATCATCACGACACGGGACATCACGACGCACAATGAACTGGAAGTTGATCTGTCAGCACTATCCTTATATTCAGGGCAGATGTTTTTATTTTATTTGGCTTATAATTCCTTACTAAATGTAGTATTTCATCTCATTACTCGTTTTTGATTATGATTTAATCAAATTTCTCGTCATTATATTACGGATACACATCAAATAGTTTTTCTGATTGCAATTTTCTAATTTCGATTATGCGTAATGTATTCTTTAGGCATGCGCTTTGAAAGAATGTTTAATAAGTAAACAACTAATAATTTTTTATTGTAATATTTTAATACCCTTTAGATCATAATTGCTCTTTTTTTCATAAATTAAGTTTTCATATTTTAATTTTATGTTTTCTTCATGCCATCTTACCAGATTAAATTGATGATCTGTAATCCGGAATCGCCGAAGTCCCACGAGTCTGGATTAAAGACTTTGAGTGTAGTAATTGTAGAAATTTATCTGAATGTCTCCTGTGGACTTTCATTTAATAGATAACTAAAGCCAGTATGGAATTAGGACATTTTGATATTGAAGAACAATTCATTGCTGCCTACTCTCCTTGTTTTAATTTTAGTCTTAACAAAGAAAATGTTTTCTCAGAAATAAATGGAATGTATTTAATTAATTAAACTTAATTAGGCAAATTCCATTCCCTCCCTCAATCTCTAATGATTTTCAGAATTTTTAATTCTTTTTTTGGGTCAGAGTTGTCTTAATCTGTAGTCATTTCTAAATTTTTATATGAAGATTTAAAAAATGGAATTAGCCAAATAATATAGAATTAAATGTTAATATATTTTACAACAGAATTGAATTTCAAATAGTTCAAAAATCTAGTCCATGTAAATTTGAACTGAATTTTAATTTGATTTTTATATTAATTCATTACATTTATTTAGGCGTAGAATGTGAACATGGTAAATAAAATGGCAAGTAACCCATTCCTCAGTATATTTTGGTGGGGAAAAACTTCTGAAATTTATGTCCAGTTTGTAGTACTATTATTCAGTTAACTTCATATTTGTTTAGGAATTTCACAGGGTGGGTGATCTTCTGTGCAAGATACTGAGAAATTTTGATATTCTTTATGCTAAGAATAATTTCAAGAATTAATAATTTCAGTTTTTTTTTTTATATGATAGACTGATTATTCAAAGTAATATACACCAAGGTCACCTTGGATGATCAAGAGCTTGTATCATACATGCATATTAACTGTTAATAGGATAGCTATGGACTTTGGTCCTTCAAATTGTTTTATTATATATATACAGTATTAAGGAACTACAAAAGGGTGGAATGTAGTAATAAAACATTTTTGCTTCTGATAGAAGTGTACAACTGACTGAAAAATGTAACAGCCATCATTAAATTCAACATCATTTGAGAATCTTTCTTAAGTATAGTACATACTTTTAAAAAATGAAACGTATATATGAATTTTTTGAAATAATGTAACATATTAAAAGAAGATAAATTATGTATTGAAATGAATTGCATTCAGTATTCCAATAAATTTTCCATTTATACATTCTTAAATCAATATAAGAATTATCAGTATTTTTTAAATCATTAGTGTATGTGTTTTAGGAAAACTTTTGTTTAAATTCAGGCTTAGATACTAAGAGTTCTGTTTTATGAGCATAAGTATCTAATATTTGTTTTGCAATTAAGTTGAACTCAAATCATTAATGTGAATGACATAATAGAAAAAAATCAGAGTTATTTTAATGACTGTAATGATATGTTATCTCTTATCACAGAAAAATACTTGGTATTTTATTTCAAGAAAAAAAAAAAAAAAACAGCTGGGATGTTCTGTGTGGAGCAAGGTTTTTAAATTTTTAAATCCTGTTCTAGCAGACTTGCTAGTTCTTGTTGCTCACTGATTTTTTAGATAAACTTGAACTTCCCTACCTACTTTTAAAATGAACATCGAAACTGCCAAAGCTGCTGATATTGAACGTCTACATCGAAAAAAGAAATGGAAATCCCTCAAAAAAACTGCTACAGTCAAAGTGATCCGGACTTCGGGGACTTCGGAATTCCGGTAATCGATTTTTCCGGATTATAGATCATCAGTTTAAATCTCGTAAGATGGCATGCAGAAATTCTAAAATTAAAAATATGAAACCGTAATTTATGAAATAAAGAACAATTATGATCTAAAGGGTATCAAAATTTACAAAAAGAAAAAGCTTAATATTTATTTGTTTACTTTATTAAACATTTCTTTCAATGTAAGTTGTTTAAGTTTTGCTTCGTTTCATGTGATAATACTTTCTCTTTAATTCTATTAAACAGACATAATTTCTTGTTCAGTTACAAAGTTCCGCTGTTCAAGTCCTATAATTGCTGTGTCGAAGAACACCGACTAATTTGTCAATCGAAATTTTTTCGTTTTCAATAACCTCTGTTACTTTCTTTGCTATCGGAAGCGAATTATAATGACGGGAACTTGTTTTAAATCATATCAAAGACGGAGCATATCGAGATGAAATACTACATTTGGTAAGGAATTATAAGCCAATAAATAAAATAAAAACCAAATAAAATAAAAACATCTGCCCTGAAGATAAGGATAGTGTTGACAGATCAACTTCCAATTCATTACGCGCCCGCCGCACGGCGTTCCCCCCCGCCGAGCAGCGTGAAATTGATAAACAGATTTCGGATTTCAAAACATACTTTCGCTTTAGATCCTTTACATATTAACAAATATATATCGGAAATTCTATTTGATATAATCGAAAGTTTAAGCTTACTTTTATAAAATTGCTCTTACAGTCTGCAAAAAATAATAAGCCGGATCCAATTCGAAAATTAAGGAACAACGCAATCATCAACATTAACTGAAATAGATAATTAGATAATTTTAGCTTATACCGTCCGTTATACATAAAACGCGCACGCGAAAACGTATTCTGCACTTGCGCACACTCATATGCGCAGTAGTTAAAGGTCTTACGCGCACGCGTAAGCGCCTATGCGCATGTGTCAACGCGGCGCATGCGCAGAAAGTTTTTAGTTTTGAGGTCCGGATTATAGATCATTCTGAATTATGGGTGTCCGAATTAACGACTTTTGACTGTATATACTTAGCTGAATGCACCCGCAATAAAGAAGGTAAAGCTATATATGACATAAAGAAATTAAGAGGACTCGACGTGTTCGTGGAAACCTTACAAATCTCGCCCTGGCCCCATGCAATGCCATAAGTGCCAGCGGTACGGGCATACACGGGATCGCCGCAAATACAAAGCATGCTGTTTAAAATGTGCAAAACCTCACGAGACCTATACTTGCTCCCAAACAAAAAATGATAAAGATAAACCTCCAGTCTGTGCCCTCTGCGGAGCAGATCACATTTCTTCTTTTAAAGGTTGCCCTGAGCACCCATTTAATATACAGAAACAGATTGAAGAAAATAGAAGCGACGAAGAATCAATTCCATTACGACAAAAACGAATTCCAGGCGCTCAATCCGAAGGAGATCCCTAAACGTAGTCCTGCCTGGCAACAATCATCCAGAGATGAAAACCAACCGAAAGGATCAAAAACTAGCCAATTAGGATTTTATGAGAGGTTAAAGCTACAAATGTTACAAATTAAAGATTTCTCTCTAAAAATTTAAAAATGCTAAAGGAATATTTGAAAAATTAGAGGTCGGCATGGCCGTTTTTGATTATCTGTCAAATATTGATTATGAATTTTAAGCCGATTCATAATATTCCTAATCTTATTTCAGCTACCAAAAGCTTTATAAAAATTAATTTCTTCAATGCTAACGGTATCCGTAAGCAACAACCTCAGCTCATCTCTTACCTCCAAAAATAACTTTTACAGGTCCTTAGGGGATGGATAAACATGTAGTGGTAAAGGCCTTTGGGTTGAACACCACTTAACGAATGATGATCTCCGATTTCCGACCTCCAAAAACATGACACTTATGTCATGTTAGTCAATGAAACACATCTTCGAGCTTGTGACAGATTCAGAATTCATGGCTATCAGAGAGGATAGACCTCACAACAGAGGAGGCGAAAATGCTATCATAATTAAAAGCCATAATAAAACGTAAAGCCAAGGCTTTGATAATATCTCAAATGAAGGGCTACAAGCACTGCCTAACAGATGTATAGTACTTATCACCAATATTTTCAACGCATGCATTCGTCACTGCTATTTTCCCTCTCAGTGGAAGCATTCAATAATTATTAACATCTTGAAACCTGGAAAAGACCTTAAATATGCCAAAAATTATAGACCCATCAGCCTGGTACCGGCTCTCTGCTCTGCAAAGTTTTTGAACGTGTCATCAGTACAAGACTTACCAAATTGGCATTGATAGGAACCAATTTGGTTTCCGAAAGGGACACTGTACTACTCATCAGATACTCCACCTGGTAGAATTTATCGCCCAAGAATTTAGAAAAAAGAATGGAGTGCAGCATGCTTTCTCGATTTTGAGAAGGCATTTGACCGAGTCTGGCATGCTTGGCTTACTCCACAAATTGTCAAATTTCCTTCTGCCTAATAGCTTCATTAAACTTACCTACTCTTATCTCTACTGTCGCACGTTTCAAGTAAAGATGTGGAGAAATTCTCTCATCAAGAAAGAGATTTTCCGAGGCGTCCCTCAAGGGTCTGTTTTAGGACCGAAATATTTTAATATTTTTATAAATGACATGCCTGTCCCACTACACTCAAGTATTTATAAATATGCGGACAATACAGTTATCTTAACCAGCTCTAGAAATCCACAAAATGGTCTTGACAAACTCCAAATGCAAGCTAATCTAATCAACAAATACTGTGAAATTTGGAAAATTAAACTTAACGCAGATAAATGTTGGGTTGTTTTATATCGCAGATACAGAAAAAATTTTCCAGTTAATTCCAATATTAAAATAGATAATTCACCTGTTCCAGTAGCAAGCTCATATAAATACCTAGGAGTGTACGTCGACAAAGCTTTAAATTTCAAGGACCATATCCAGTATACCATCAATAAAGCTAATGCAGCATTTATGTCTCTTTATTCCCTGCTTGGAAGGAAATCTAAATTAAATCTGAATACTAAGAGAAATCTTTATATCACTCTCATCAGACCAATTCTACTCTATGCAGTTCCTGCATGGGCAACTGCCGGATAAACTGAACGCTAAAAAAAAAAAAAAAAAAAGTCTTACCTAATAAGATTCTTCGTAGCATAACAAATGCCCCTTGGTTTGTGCGGAACGCGCAAATCCATAAGAATTTAAATATTCTCCCGATTATGATCAAATACTAACTACAGCACACAACTTCTTTGAAAAACTGAAAAACTCACAATACCTAGCCATTAAAGAACCCACAGATAAAAGACCGCGAACTATACATCATAATGCATTATGGTGGTAGTGTACAGTGTATATCTTTTATTTCTACTTATTTTACGTATCTTATTACTCTTTATTACTCAAGATCAGTTTACGTTATGCACAAAGCTTATGGACTTTGATTGCAACTTATATTTCTTACTTATTATTTTCATTTAACCAAGAATTTATTTAGTACTGTGTAGTGTTTTAAAGCAAAGACTTTGCTTTCAGTGAAAATTTTAGTTCGCGGTCTTATGACTCCTTCACTCGCTATTGGCCACCTCGCATCACGTGGTGTTTACTGTGCAACTTTAAAGAAATTAATTTTCTAACATGATTATTTAATTTTACTGTACCCAAATTGTGTTTCTGAAGAATAAGGACATTATTAAATCTTCAAATTCACCTTTTTTTTTTTTTTTTGGAACTCTACAGACTTATTTGGGCTACAATGAACCTCTGGTTGAGGCGATACCCCCATTTTAATGGATAATAAAGAGCGAAATAATGATATATTTCATTGGGGACTCGCATGCCATGGCAGCGGTATTATAAATATAACAAACTTGCTAATACTTCACGGACATAATTGATGTTTTCTAAAATCAAAGTTTTTTAGGGTACTTAAAAAGAATCTTTATTTAACACGTGGGTGTGTAATCTTTATTTACCACAGTGCCACAGCAAAATCTGGTAAAATAGTCTGTCGGATCATTTTTTTTAATTCTAGTGGTTTCGTGTCTCCTTTATCCTAAAAATCAGTTCAGTACCTAATCTGAATATATTTTTATGAATATTTAATAAATAGATAAACAAATAACAGGTTTAAAATAAAATCATTTATATTTAAACAATAAATTTATTACATTTCAGTTCATTGTAAATTAACACAAGAGTTCTATGTCTCAATAGGAAAAATTGGTAAAATTAGACAAATACTGTATTACAATACAAATAATAAAACATAATACATAACCAAAAATAAATAACTTAGTGAATGTGTAAACATCTTAAAAAATATCGCTAGTCTTGTATTCTTTCAATAAACAACACAATCCCATTTAATTATAACTTCGTTGTTTTACTTCATAAATAATGATTACTTATTGCAGCAAAATCTATATTAAAATCAGATAATAATCTATGAAAAAAAGCTTCCAGAAGCCGAAACCAAGAATACGAACAACTTTCTGAATGTAGAAATAATTTTAACCATATAAATTGATCCATTTGTGAAGCACCGATGACTCACACAGCTTTAAACAATACAAAATTTGAGTCACATTCGATGAGCATGGCTCCGAAAAGTAAGGCCGCTATGAATCATCGATGATGTACATGGCAGTCAATGTGTTAAAGTGCATGTAAAAACTCAATTACTAAAATAAAATAATTTTTTAGCTAATCGTGCATAGTTTAATATCTGTACAGCTTAAAAAGAACTGTGTAAACTGTTTCATTTGACTTATGAATAATTTAGTGGGCAGTTTTTTTATTACGCACATCGGTGCTACATAAACTGCCATAAAAAATCAGCTAAGAATAAGCTAATGTTTGGTCTTCATGACAGCTGGACGTGCTAGTCATGAGAACAGGCAAAGGCCAAATGCGATAATTCTTTATATCATGACCTGCATTCTCAAATATAATTTTTTAAAACTGTTTTCGATAATTCGAATAATGTTATATACCAAGTTCGCAATGCCAAAAATGAAAAAAGTGGCAAGCATATTAAAAAAATGTGTTTAAATTATAGCGATTTAAAAATCTGGTTAACTGATAAATGTACGAATTATTTAAAATTTATAAAAAGTATTGTCAGTCTGTTATTGAACAGTTACATTATTTATTATATTTGTGAGAGACGAAAATGCATAGTTTCTAGAGATTCTTAGATTCAATAACGGTAACTGTTAAAAGTTAGCTTTAAAAAAAAAATGTGGATATTGTCTTTAAATATGATTAAAAAAATGGCATAACATTTGCATCATATTCAAATATCACACGAAATAATTTTAAAAAAGTTTCCCTTTATTTAATTAACAGGGCATAACATGAAATCATTCACAAATATTCAAACGTGATGAAATCGTTCATCACCTTATTTGTGACGGAATAAAACAAAATGCAGTAAACTCTCTAGTTGCGTCCATCTCTGAAAAGAACAAAATATTTCTAAGACTAATATCGGTACTGAAAATCACTTTCGCACAAGATCGAAATCATATGGAACCTTGAGAAGTAGAGAGGATCACCTCAAAAACAGGTAAGATCCTGAATACTGTTAATTTTTAAAAAAGTTGAAATAACTTAATTTTTTAGAACTATCCTGAAACTGAAAGCGAAACTAACGATATATTATTTCAGTTAGGTGTTGCGTTGTTTAGAATAAAGACATAAATATAGGAGAACTTCATTAATGTTTCTTAAACTTTCTATTTACACAGGAGTTCATCTGTCAAATTTATTGTAAATCACTTAAAATTGCTGAATATGAATTATTTTAAAATTACGCTATGAATATACATTTATAACAGAGAAAGGAATGTGACATTCCAAGTCATTTTATGTCTCATGATTATCAATAAAGCTCTAAATAAACATCGGTAAAATAAATTAACATCTCTCTAAGATCTAATATGAGGTATGGTCTTTTCTACAGCCAGACAGGTCGTGTATCGTGACGGCATACTAGACAGGACGCAGATGAAGAGCCCCTATGGCAGTCGGTCTCATTCCTGCAACAAGACAGTTTTCAACTCCAGGATGGTTCTTGGAGGGGGGAAAATTGCCCTCCTAAGAGCGTCCCAGACATGCTTTATATGAATATATTATTTCAGTTAGGTGTTGCGTTGTTTAGCCAGGTGGCAAATATCCTCACTTTCCAGGTTACTGTTGACCAGCTGAGCCCTATGTGGACGAGCTTTGTCATCCATTAACAGGAACACCGGACCAACTGCGCTCCTGAAACATACGATCTAAGATTGCCTCTCTATACCTCATAGAAATCAGAAAAAGCCTTTGTCAAACACATGAAGGGGGTGTGGGGCCGTTCAGCATAATACCTACCCAACTATTACACCTCCACCACCGTAATGATCCTTTCCCATGATGAGGGGAGGGATGGTATCGTGTTCCAGGCTCTTTCCAGATGCAGACACAATAAGAATCAATGGCCAGGCATATCTCGGCTCGTATAAAAAGCACGCACTGAAGTCTGTGTGTATTGAAGTGAGCGGAACGCAAATAGCAGGTCTTTTGGCATACAGCCCTATCTCATGAAGCCTTCAGACAACTGTAAACCGTGAAACTCGGATTTCAGCGGCAGCATATAGCTCAGGTGAGAGTTGTGAATCTGTAGCAGTTCTGTGTCGCAGCGCTGAAAGAGGCAAATAGTGAGCTTCAATCGTCGTTGTGGATTTTGGTCGGCTTTGGACCTTGGTTGTGGATCTTGGTCGAACTTTTCAAAGTCCTGAAACTGTTTCCATAAATTGCTGACGACACTGGGTGTCACATTGAGCTCTTTAACTACCTCCGCTTCTGATTGATCTGGCGACAATCTACCGTTAATCGCCGAGCGTGGCTTTGAAACAGGCATGTAACTAACTGGCTTTTTACCCGAATCTGGAAGAACTCTTCTAGGCCATTGGCTTTATACATACACACCGTAATCGGCGAAACTCTATAGCAAATTACTGTGGCTACCATTGCATTTAACTCTTTGATTCCATCGCAGAAGTGGACGCTAGTCCGAACTGGTGATAAAAAATTTTCCAACATGTAGATAGGTGATTTACTGTAAAGTGGTGCCAACTAGTGGTTATAGAACACATGAAATGGAGGGATGAAAAAATCCTCGAAGTCTCTGATATACACAGCAAAGGGGCAATGAAATAAGAATACAAATGAAGTGTAATATAATTTAGATATTAAAAAAGGAGATATCAAATATACACAAATATATACAGGTGCAATCACAATGCAGATTAATATCCAGTATTGTAATGAATTGTTGAAAACCCCTCGTGCGCTGACATTCTTTTCATGATCATAGCTCCGCAGATACGCACATGTACGATTACGTATTCGACTCTGAATATTTGCATAATTCTTTGGCGGCATAATTAGTACCTTAGATTCAAAACTTTTCTTAAAAATAAACATAATTTGCAAATTCTCTTAATTTTGCCCACGAGTGACTTAATGAAAAGTTCATTGAATTAAATTCAGTAATTTTTTTTAATTCCCTGTGCTATAGTCATTAAGTTTGTCAATTAAGGATGCAAAAATATCATTTCAAACAATTAATAGTAATCAAAGTGTGACATAATTCATGAAATTTTTCATTAAATCAGGATATTGTCAAGTCGAGGTTATTTTTACTTAATCATATTTTAGGAAAATGCTGAAACTTTAGTGTATGTTTCCAAACTGCCCAGGTCTTTTATGCATGCAAATAAAAATATTGTTTTTCTTTTTTTATTTTAATATAAGATAAATTTTCCCGATTTCATACACTTCAGATCAAATTAATAAAATAAATTGTTAATTCAAAGTTGAAAACAGCATTCAAAGTCTGGAGCTTAATGAAATGACAATTCTCTTTCAGTATTGTCAGTGTATGGTGTCTAAAACACAGGACTAGTCACCTGGTGAAGTACAGGTGACATAATTTTTAGAATTCAGGAAGTTACTTGATGGCAAAATCTTGAAGATATATAGATTACATTGGGAAGCCAGTCAGAACGTTCTCTTCCTTTTTTAAACCTCTTGCTACTGAACAAGGACCAAAATTCTTATGCATATATGACATGTTCTTGTATTGCCTTCTTTATAGAACTTAATAAATTTTAAAACAAATTGCAGTTATATTCCTTTGAAGAATTCTATCTCTTAATTATTATAAAAATCAAAATTAAATAAAGATATAAAAAAGGATGCTCATTATTTTTGAAGTTTTAATGTGAAAGATAAAATAAATAT